AATCGTAATAATTAAAATTATTTTTTAAATCCATATAACTTCTTAAATATTCATTCTAAATATTAACTATCTTATATAAATTTGTAGCTCATGTTACGATCTACAACTTTACTTAGAACATCAACAAACATTTACTTGAACTCGAACCGAATATTTGGTCAGGTTCGAGTCTGGTTCAAAATTCGAACTGAACTCGAACCAGACTTTTAATTAGGTTCGAATTTTTGAACCGGACTTTTCGTCAGGTTCAAGTCCAGTTCAAGCTCGAACTGAATCAGACTCGAACCGAACCAGACTTTTTTTCGGAACCCTAGATTTAAGCTTAAATCAAATCAAACTTTTTTTAAAATTTTAATAGCAAGTAAATATAACAAGCAAATAAATATAATAAGTAAAAATAACATTAGTATAATTAATTAAAATATTTTAATAAATATATAATTATTTTAAATTAATCTAAATATAATAACTTTAATATTGATTAATTATATATTTAAAATTTAACTTTAATTTTAATTCAAATTTTAATTTGCCAATTAAAATATAATTATTATAAATATATTTATTTATTACTTTATCTTATACTTTTAGTTTTCATACTTTATAATATAAAAACATATTAGATATTATTTATATATTTTATAATATAATAATATTTGCATTATAATTTTTGACTTAAAAAACAACTAAATAAATTATTAAAATATAATAATTTTTAATTTGAAAGTATTCAAGCAAATTTTTAATAAAGAAATAAATTAATATATTAAAATTAAATTTTAATATTATAATTACAACATGAATATTTTGTTATTTATCTTTAAATAAATATTTATTATATAAAATTAATAGTTATAATTAATAAAAATACTATATATTTATTTTAAATAAAGTTTAAAATATATTAAAATAATAACAATATTAATATTATTAATATAAATTAAACTATAAAATATATTCAAAATTATTTGATAATATTTTTTATATTTTAAAGTTATTGAATGATTTTAGACTGTTTGCACTATAACAAAATGAAAAAACTAAAATTTTATCAATAAGAAAAACTTGTAACAACATCAATAAATAAAGAAACTAAATGTTTAATTAATAAAAAAAAAGCATTAATACTTACTAACAATATTATTAACATAAATTCAAATTGAAAATTGATTGTAATCTGGAAAAATTTGTGAAAAGTTCAAATAATGGCCAACCCAAAATTTGTTGAATAAAATCAAAAAAAAACAAAAGAAAAATAAAATATTTGATAATTCAGCCAATCATTGAATGTGTTACAGATATAGATCAAGTCAATCCTGATAATTATAAGATTATCCGGGTTGACTTAAGCTTTAATCCACTATCTTGCTTTAATGTTCCCCCGAATTCGACTCTATAATTAATTCGTTTGCGGATCGATTCAACACTTCATGTCAAATCCGAAGTTGAAAATGCGCGAAAAAGTCTTTAAAGGCTGGGTTACTTTAGTTTTTCTTTTAGCATTTCAGTTAGTAGGCATTGGGATGTTTGCGCGAGGTTTTTTCCCATATAAAACAAATTTATCAGGGTTTTCTAAAGTCAATAAAACTCCGCCCTTACCAAACGGAGAAAACTCCTCTCTCCCGACACCAACTTTTGGAAGGCTGGTATTCATGTTGGTTGACTCTCTTAGAAGGCATGATTAGAAGCAATTTAAATAGTTTTTAATACCAAATGTTGTATATTATTTTTATCGATTCTTATTCTGACATCTATTTGATAGTGATTTCGTGTTTGGCAAAAACTCTAATATGACATTCATTCAAAGGTTAGTTTACTTCACGAAGCAAACAATGATTCCTGATTTTGGTTGTTATTTTTTAATTACGAAAAAATCTGAATTGATGCAAAATTATAATAGTTTTTCACTAGAATGATAGCCGAACGTCGAGCTATTCCTTTTACTGCCTTTGCAAGTGCTCCTACTGTCACGTTACCTCGAATAAAAGCTCTTACTGCAGGTATTATTAATTATCTCGAGGTATAAATTGCCAATCATATTAATAAAATTGGAAAATCAGGTACCGTTCCGAATTTCTTGGATGCTATTCTAAACATCGCGGAATCAGATACTTCTAGCTCATTGGCATATCAAGATAATTGGCTTGTGCAAATGAAGCAAACTCGTAATGTGACAATTTCATTTTTTGGGGACGATACTTGGATAAAATTGTTTCCTGGATTATTTCATAAAACAGACGGAACCACATCATTTTTTGCCACGGTATTTATTTATGGAACCTCAAGATCCATTTAATTTGTGAATTAAAATATTATTCTTTCTAAGGATACAGTTGAAGTCGACTTAAATGTCACGAGACACATAGTCACAGAATTATCTGATCCTAACTGGGATGTAATAATATTGCATTATCTTGGTCTGGATCATGTTGGACATTCCAGTGGTCCGTACAGGTGGAATATACGCAGGAATTTTTTATTTCTTTAATTCATTGATAAGATTATGCTTAAGACTTATTTTCTTGGTTATTTAGTTCATTGATGAAACCTAAACAAGGAGAAATGGATCAAGTGGCAAAAACTATTTTCGATATGATGTTAGAACAGGACGCACAAAGGATAAGATTGGATTCTAATGCTAAGCCAACTCTCTTTGTATTATGCGGGGATCACGGGATGAATGAAGTTTGTAATTGTGTATTATTGTATTCAATTAGATGCTATGTTAATTAACTCTATTTTATTGCTTTTAAGGCGGGAAATCATGGCGGGTCTTCAATTGGGGAAACATCAACGGTAAATCTATTTTTTGATATATCAATATCTATGATTGGTATTTTGATGAAACTTACGTTCACTTTTAAGTTACTATCAAAGAGACACTAATTGAAATATTTGAATTTTGCATTTTATAGGTGATTGTTTTGTTGAGCTCAAAGTTTGGCATTTTTACGCGCTTACCCGCTACCTTTGACACCCCAAGTGAACCAGAATCTTTTCGCTATTATAGTTTGGTCAATCAAGTAGATTTGGTGCCCACGTTGTGTTTTTTATTTGGAGTCCCAATACCAAAAAATAATTTGGGTAAAATTATGCTTGAAGTATTTGGAGATCTTAATGGTTTGTATTTATTTTTTAATTGATTTAAAATTATCGAATTTTTTTCTAATTTTCCTTTTTGAATGATGCAGAATTCGAAATATTAAGATTATTGCAATTGAACGCTTATCAATTATCTGAGCTTCTTCAAAATTTTGACCACAACCCGAATTATCTCGATACACGGAATGATTGTGATTATTATGATGACAATGCACAAGAAAGACTACAATGCTTATATAATCTCGCGCATTATTATCATTACAAAGCTCTTCTAGTTACTAATGATACTGATACAACATTAACAATCAAATCTCGCAAATTTTATGAACAGGTAAAAGTAGTTTATTCGTATGAATTATATGTAATGTAATAGTTACACGCTAATAATCGCCATTTTTTTTTTAGTTCATACATGAGACTAGCTCGAGACTTTCATCGAATTTTAGTGAATATAATCTTGGCTCTATATATATTGGCATTGCTTGTATGATTGTGACGAACATTGCCTTTATGGCTATCCTTATTGCTTCTACTTGTAATCGAAATCGTTCCTCGAGAATCAACTCATCGGATAAACAAAATATTTGGAATGTCCAGCGAATACTAATTTTAATTGGTATAATTCAAATATGTATCATGATGTTTGCGAGTAGTTATATTGAGGAAGAACATCAGTTTTGGTATTATTGGATGCAAACTATGTGGATTGGTTTGTTCCTTAGCGGGTATGATAATCTATTAATTGCTTTTATCGTATGCATGCATGGTGTTGTATTAATTCATTGTCTTTTAGTATAAAAATCAAACAAAATCCATTCTCCTCGCTTAATTTGACAATATTGGGGCAATTAATCGCTGTTCGATTAATTCGAAGTTGGAATCAAACAGGTATTTGAGTAAATCAAAATCTTTGGGTTCACATATTAAATCATGATTTAATGGATGTTTGTATACTATTCTCGATATAGGCCAAAAGTATGCTGGTGAAATTGATTTACGCTATTATCTAAAGACGAAATATCTTGGTGTGATGTGGATATTATTTTTTGGGACAATACTTTGCCTCATAATAGTCACATTGAATCAAATCCAAAAGTCGTTTAATGAAACACGAAGATTACGCCTAGGAAAACTCGTGCAATACATGAACCTATTTTTACATTCTTTTTTTGCAATCATTACAATATTTGTCGCCTTTCTCTTAGTGACATATAAATTAGAAGTTGATGCTCCGACTTTTCTCAAGTTTATTCGAGAACTTCCTTTCGGACATTTTTGGGACAGAATGGATCGTATTCTGCACGCGCGAATTACTTACAGCTTTTTATTTACTCAGATTTCGTTAATTTTATTCATTAAATTTTTATTTAACGGTAGTAATTATGAACAGCATGAGACAAACATAGTTAATGATAGTGAAGGTAATATTTTATATTATTCAGTCTTTTTTTACATGTGTTCTAAAAAAAATATATTAACAACATATTAAAAAAATTATTACCTATTTCTAGTTAACAACACTTTCTCAAAACTCATATTATGTATTTTCACTTTTCTACTTATTCTTTTATCGCGACCTTACAATGCCCCTTTATTCGCATTATTCGGGCTGCAACTTTTACTCTTTATGATCTGGCAAAAACGCTCCATTTCATTATCTATTGAACCATCAATACCATCACTTCCCTCCATTTATTATAATTACATATTTCTATGCCTTCAAATAATGTCATTTTTTGCATTAGGCAATTCAAACTCTTTGGCATCCGTTGATCTCGGAAATTCGTATATAGGTATTAGCGAATACAATATGCTTTTCGTTGGACTTCTGACATTTTTCACGAATTGGGCTGGACCAATATGGTGGGCTATCGCTTGGAATGTCACACGTCAAGAAATTTCAAAGATTCAACAACAAAATCATAAAAAAACGCGTCCAGAAAAACAATCTTTCGACGATAGCCAAGACGAAAACCTTACAAAAGATACCCTATTTTTTGATTACCTGATACACACATCATCTTTTCACGCTCTAGTTCTCTTATGTTTATCGATAGCAGTCACTATTCTAAGAAGCCATTTGTTTATTTGGACTGTATTCTCTCCCAAGTATTTGTATCAAATTGTATGGAATGCTTTATTTCATTTGGGATTTGGAGTTTTGATTTCGGGAATTTTACATTTATTTGAAAATTGATATAAACACGTACACACATGAGAATAATGTCTTCATTATTCCGCTAATAAATAAATATTATTAATTATTAATTTCCTTTCTTCGAAATTCCAATTGATAGAAAATAAATCTGATAATCATTATTTCGATATATTCTATGATGGATGCGACTGAATCAATCGTTAATATATAGGAATAGTCAACTATAGTCAAATATAACCTAACAAAAGTAATCAATTAGTGCGTGTATATGTTGTGCCTCAGGTGACGATTTGCCTCAGGTGACGATTTGCCTCAGGTATCGATCAGCCCAAATTAGAATAGGAGTTCTACTAGAGTTGGGGTTAGGTTAGGGTTAGGTTAGGGTTAGGGTTAGTGCTGGTGAAATAGATTAATGTTCGCCAGAGTGATCACGTGAATCGACACCTGAGGCAAAACGACATATGAGGCACAACATATGCAAACAGCGCCATCAAGCAAATCTCTCAGAAATATTCCTCGAGTGTCATTAAGCTCCCTATTCATCACTACTCCACACTCATACAAATTTTTTTGTTCACACACATGTTGATATCATTGTAATTGCTGTCTTACTTGTCATATATCATTAATTTATATTGTTGTAATTGTTGTATGAAATTATGAATGTCATGACACAAGTTTCAGATATAGTTTATAATTTGTTGATTGGTTTTATCAGAATAATCAGATATCTAGACAATGAATCAAGTAATGATTTAAATAGCATCAGTATTGAAATTGTAATATTCAAAAATAGTTGCAATATAAATTTTTATTTGTTATAAATCTCTAGCTGTTAATTCTGATTAATTTCAAGTATAACTAAGAATAATTGGAATTATCAGTCTATTTTTATACTTTCAGATTTTGTGGAATTCAGATTTTCTTTTCAATTTGTCTCCAAAAAGAGCACCAAAAAAACTTATCATTTTGAGTTTTTGCATATAAAAGTATTTCAAAATAATAATAACAATTATATTTATAATAAATACTTTGAGTTTATACAAATATTTGATGAATTTAGATATTATACACCATATTTATTTTCAAATTGATTAAAAATTTATATTCTTATTATTATAAATTAAAAAAAATATATTTAATTAAAATAAATATAAATATATATAAATATAAATTATATGTTTAAGTGAAGTTATTTATAATAATCAATCAAAAAATTTTGAAATTGTTATATTATAAACTTTGTAATTTGTATATGATTTACATATATATATAATATTTTATTTATAATATTATTATATTATTATTATTCTTTTTTTATTAATTATTTTCTTCTTTAAATAAATAATTAGTAATAAAATGTTTTTGAAAAGAATTTTGAATTTTTTATAATTAAAATTTTGTTTTAATTATTTATTTTTTTAATAAATATAATAAAATTATAATAAATTATATAAAAACAAAATAACAAAATTCAAATATCTTGATTTTGAAGAAATTATTTATAATACAGTGGCAATCAGAAATAATGCAACGACGTCAAAATTTACTAATTAAACATAGTAAAATGCGTATTTTTCTCTTTATATAAAAGTTTTCAATTTTACTAATAAATATTTTTTATTTTTACATTAAAATGAAGATAATATC